ACTCTCGATTCAAAGGTCAATAGTGTTATCAGAGTCCATTAGGTAGGAAAAGACACCTGCAGGGATTCTGGAATTCAGAGAATGTTCGACAATATTCATATTGCTCAGTTAGACAAGAAAGCATGAGAATTCAGAAAAAAACATGAAGGTTATCTCACTGATGGGCATTAAATAAGGAAATGCCCAACTGAAGACCTGTGTTTGAGAGTTATGATGTCATCTATTTCACAACTTAGTTTTGTCATAGCTGAAGGGGGAAAAAATGTTAGTATTTGAGAAAGGAAAATTTAATTGCACAATCTCAGTTGGCCACAAAGAAAATGAGATTAAGACACTTTCTATTGTATAGAACTGTCCAGAAACAAAACTCAAGGTAAAAAAAAAAAAAAAATGCCCCAGCCAAATCCACAAAAAGTGTGGTCATACTCTAAACCCAATCATTATTGGTTAAATAAAAATATGGAATTTCTATGTGTTATAAAATACCTGTTTTCTCTTGTTAAATGTGCATTGTGACTTTGGGAGAGTAAAAGGATAGAAAACCAGCTCTGATTACTTTTTGTGGTAAAAACTTAAAATTATTCATCAAAATGTGGCTTTTTTTCCCCTCTTTTTGATCTTTAATTGCTTGCTCCGACAGTTCTTATGACAGAAGTTGCATCCTTTTAAGCACCACACTAGGTTTTGGCTTTTATTTTTAATCAGTTTTCTCAGCACTTTTGTAAGGGAAAAAATTTGTTATAGAATAAAAATGTAATTCTAGTTATTATTTTTTGCATGTATGGAATCAACACAAATATTAAAGTGGGATGCTAAACAAAATGTAGATACAGAGATTATTTTGGTATAATAAAAATTGTTTCACCATCATTTATTATTATTATTACTTTGTTTGTAATTTGAAGTTCATTACACAGAGCTGTGTCTAAAGCAGATTTTTTTTTCCTTTCAATACATTCACTAAGTGTCGGGAGTAACAGATTTAGAATTGGAGAAAATCATGAATGTAGACAGATTGTGTCTATGTAGATAGGGCAACAAAATTATTTTTATCCAAACATTTTAACGTAATCTATAAAGCAAATGCTTTCAAGGGAAAGGAAGTAATTCATGAGAGGTTGTGTCTTGGACCTATTCAGTTGCTATTGCCTTCAGTAGAATTTGTGCAGCATTGGGTGGACACCTTTTTATGCTCAACTGTAAGTGTTTATTTGAGACAGAAACAATAATGACTTTTTGCAGGAACTTTTGATGGATTAACTGCATATGCAATTCATACTCACTTCAAACTAAAAGAAAAGGATATAGTAGCAGCTGAAAGTTTTGGGTTTTCTTTCTGTTTGCCTAGTATAACAATTTGCTTGACTTAGGACACATTTACTGTATTATGGTTAATGTCTCTTTTCTACAAAAGCATAATATAAATGCAGAGAAATATTTAAGCTTGAACTTTAGAAATCTTTACTTAACGGGACCAGCAGATGGCATAGCAATTACGTCACCGAACTCCCACATCACTGGCTGCGTTTTGAGTCCTGTACCTGGTGACTTCAAACTCAGGCCAGGAACGTGGAGAAGAATGGAGAAGCGATTCAGGTGTGGTCATCCCCTCAGAGGCAATTTCCCATTTTCTGTCTCTCTGTCTTTCCTGGGTGTGCACATGCCTATAGCAAAAATTTCTCTAAAAATTTTAAAAAAGAAAAAAGCATGTGGAATTTTCAAATTGGTGTATCAAGGGATTAAAAGCAAAGCTAAGAAATAAACATTTCAGATGTTGGAGTTAAAAGTATTGGGTCATAGAAAAGGTCGTGATGTATTTTTGTATAGCCAAACACAGAAAAATATGTCATGACTTTGGCAATGACCTAATATAACACATAAACACCTTAGGGTATATTTAAAATGCGTATCTTGTAACTTGCTGACTTTTTCAACCTATGGATGAAATAAATTTTTATTGTGACAATGTCAGCACTCAAAAACCACAGTACTCAAGAGTAATTTTGGTTTACTTAGATTTTGTGTTTGAGAAGCCCTAACACTTATTCCAGCACTATATTTAATCTAAATTAATAAACCAAAACTGATCCAACCTTTTCCTTTTTCTCTAGCTCCCCAGTATCCCCAGTACATAATCATCACTGTGAAGTCATTTCCAGTTAAACAGTCTAACCAGGCATGAAATACATTGCATCTAGCTATCTTTTAATAATTTGAATGGCTTCATTATCTTGCATATATAACTTATCAAACCTGTCCTATAAAGCTTGAGTACTACATCAACACCAGCAAAGCCTGCATAAACAAGAGCCTTATGAGTCTTAAATGATAATTACCACAATCTAATGAATTGCATAAATCATTTATAATGAAGGGAAATAAACAAGTACTCTGATATGAGCACATTAATAACTTAAGTTTTTCAAAAGCAATGAGTAATTTAATTTATATGGTATGTCCACAGACAGTAACAACTTGAATTTTATTTGTGAGATAATTAGCAGTTAATCTACAGGGATATGACTTATCTACTAGCAATACTTTAAACTGAAAAATGAAGATTGATTTTATCTTTGATGAAAATTATTCTGATAATATCCTGTGATTTGAAAGTCACTGTTTAAAGGAAAAATGAAGATTGATTCTTTATTCTGACAAGTCTAGAATTTATTCCAAAAATATGAATTAACATGCTTTGCAGTTCCAAGTAATTTGCAATATGCTATAATTTTCAATGATCCACTCACTCAAGTACTAATTAGGTGAGGATAGATAGATGCATGATAGATAAACAGATAGACACATAGATAAGTACATTTACATTTATTCATGAGGAAACATGGTACTGTGGATTAATTGTGTCTTCCAGAATTCACGTGTTGAAATGTGTTTGCAACAAGATTAAGTGGGTGAAAATTTCATCTGTATATGGTACTGAGAGTTGAGTCCTTTCGGAGGACATTGACATTAAGGTAATCAGGATGGGGTCCTCATGTCTGGGTTCATAAAGAGAGGGTATGAGGGACCAGCAGTTAGCGTAATGGCTATGTCGTTGGACTTCCACGTAGTCGACTGCGGTTCCCGTCCCGGACCCGGTGGCTTAAAACTTACGCCGGGCACGTGTGCGTGCGTGCCCAAGATCCCGAGAGGAGAATGGAGGAGAAGGGATTGCGGTGTGACCATCCCCCCTGGGGGGGGGTGATTTCTCGCTTTCTGTCTCTATGTCTCTCTCTGTCTGTCTGGCGAGCGCATGCTCCCTATAGTGAAAAACCTCTCCAAAAAAAAAAAAAAAAGAGAGAGAGGGAATGAGACAGAGACACAGGGACTCACTTTACACACCAGCAGACCCTGCCAGTTGCAGGCCCTGGAACTTGGGTCTCCAAACCCTTAGCTGAACAAGCCAGTATTTTAAAAAATCAGTCAGTGTAAAGCATTTTTCTATTTTTAGCTTTAGAAAGCACTAGAACGGATTAGGAATTCCTAACTTCTACTTTATAATTTGGGTCATGAAAAATACATAATTTATTCTTGAGGTTCAGTTTCATTGGTTACAAGGTTATTCACCCAGAGAACAACAACAAATATTAAAACATAGTTCACAAAACTGCTTTCCCCCAAGTAACAGGCATTATCTAAACTAATGAATTTTATGTATACATTTTACTTTTTCAATTTTACCTACCCTGATCTATCTACCTTCCTGTTCACAATTAAGTTTGAAAATAGCTTTCTTCCCCAATCTATTAACTTTCCAGTTAATTCCTCCATTTGGATAAAAACTATATCATAGTAGGATGTTTAAATCTTTAAAAGCACACGTTAAATTTTTGTCAGTTTATTCCAAATCTAGGCAGTATGGTCTGTGCTATGCTAAGGTATTAAAATGCCTAAGATATAACCTTAATTCCAAGGAGACAATAACTGAATGAGAAAGAAACATATTAATAAATAATCACAATTTAATGAAAATGTCTTTTTTATTTTTTTAATATATGCTTGTGTCTTAATACTGAAGGAAGGTTCATACCCTGGCTAAGCCATTGGGATTTTTTGCACTGAGGAGTTTCCTAATTAAGTAAACTAAAAATTGATTAAGCCATCGAAATAGGGTCATTTCTAAAATTGAAGATGCTGTGTATCAGCACAACAACTGCACGGAGACAAAGAGCCAAAGAAAAGGCATTAGGAACTTCATGGCCTCCTCAGGTAAATCTGAGCAGTACAGCGAGGTAGCACAAAGCTAATACCTAGGAAAGTACAGTTAATATATTGACATTCATATTTTAAAAACGAGCAATGATTACCATGTTAAACAATGCTGCTATTCATGACTTGCTTTTATGACAACCTACTTAGAAATGGCAAACTAGTTTGCCTTAAAAAAAAACTGGAATAAAATAAACGCGTTTTACTCTTGGGGTTAATGAAGACGTGTCTTGTTAGAGTACTGTTCTCCACAAGTGCTTCTCCTGATAAAGACATTGTATGGCACCTGTTAAACCAAATAAAACTCTACTCATTCTGGAGTGCTTACATATGATATAACCTGACTTACGTGAATAAACTGAAAACCTGACTTAGGAGTTTGCTTCTGTAGTTAATAGCTGAGTCATTTGAAGCTGTCATGCTTTAGTCAATCACAGATCAACTTCAAACCATATTCAAATAAGTAAATGCCCAGCCATAACCAATCGAGATGTTTCTGTCACCCACTTCTGCATTTCTGTATGTCCCTATCCTTTCAGCACCCATAGATGTTATCCAACCATGTGGCAGCCCTGAAATTCCTCAAAATCAGTTCTCAGAATGCCTAATTTACCAATCATTCTTTGCTCAATTAAACCCTGCTAAATTAAATTTGTCTAATTTTTTTTTAACAAACTAGATTATTGATTGTAATTTTACTCAAGTTGAAAGGCATATGAATGCATAATGTCAATTTTATTTAATTTTTATTGCTTTCTCATAAAATAGTTTACCAATTTGCAAATGTAGTTTCCTTTATTGATGAGTTTTAGGCGAGCAGCATATTTATAAATCCCATCTTCCATGGGGGTGAGCTCAGGACAACTTCTTTCTGGTTAAGCTTTCTTCAGCTATGTCAGTAACAATGTTTATCATTCCAAACCTAGAAAAGTAATATATTCCAATAAATATATAATATATAAAATAAACCTCTAAGGAATTGTGGTATGATACATATGTGTGTGTGTGTGTGTGTGTGTATATATATATATATATATATAGAGAGAGAGAGAGAGAGAGAGTCTTTGCCACTAGTCCTTAGCACTGAGCTCCTAAAACTTTTGGAATTTCCTGACTGATAGAAGCATCTTTAGTTATTCATAACAAGTCCATTTGACCATTTCTGCATTTGTGCTGACAAAGTGACTTGCTGGGTTTGGTTGCCAGATAAATTTCAAAATAGAAGTTGGTGGCCAGATGAACCAACTGCTTATTACAGGGTAAGAGCATTTAGCTCTGTTCCTCTACCCTTCCAAAACCCCCACTCCAGTAAAAGAGATGGGTGGAGATTGAATTCAATTACCAATGGCCAAAGTTTTAATTATGTAGTAGCATGTCTACATAATAAAACTCAGTACAAATGCTGAAATTATTAGGCTTAGGGACCTTCAAGTTGGTGAACACATCCATGTGGTAGGAGGGTGGCATACCCCAACTCTACGGGGACAGAGGATCACCTCCAATTCTTACTTCCATCTCTCTTCATCTTCCTAATCCCTATATCTTTTGTAGTAAAATGTTTTTCTGAGTTCTGAGAGTCCTTCAAGCAAGTTATCAAAACTGAAGGGAGATCATTGGAAATCCTGAACTTGTACTCAATGAATATACTTATTCTGGGAGACTACATTTGGCATCTGAATTAGAGTCGGTCTTGTGTGACAGAGCCATTAAACTATGGGGCTTGTGCTAATTCCAGGTAGTTGGTCGTAGAACTTGATTAGTTTATGGGACACCCAGATGGTTTTAGAGAGTTGGAGAAGTGTCATTTGTAAAACCATGGAGAAATGGCCCAGTAGGTAAGATTATATAACTGAGAGATATAAGGACTCTTACTAAAGGCAGTGTTTATTTAGGGCAAAAAATTATTATTTCTAAGATAGAAATATTGATTTTATGTAGTTTCCTAAAGAGTTACACTAGGCTTAATTTGGAAGGGTATGTGAAAAAACAATGAAAGCAAAGATGATCGCTTTATCCCTACATGTGGTAGAAAAGAAAAGGAAACCAGTTAGTGAGCAGTTCAAGGTTTTTGAAATTTGGCAGTGTCTACTTTAAAGAGGAGCAGGATGGAAATGGAACATCAGAGGAAGCATATTTGGGGACTCGCTGCTGCTGGAATACAGATGGCAGAGAGGGATTTCTTTTGCAATTGAAGTCCTAGGAAATTCAAAATAGAGAAAAAAAAAACAAAGTTTTAGAGGAAAAAGAGCACAAAACTCTAAGCATAGAGTCTTTGAAGACACAGATTTTGGAAGTTTCAGCAGTAGCTGTCAATCAGAAATATCTGAACATGACTTCCAACTGAGACAAATGGACAGATAAGGACA